GGGGCAGGGGCAGGGGCAGGGGCAGGGGTGAGGAAGCCCACCTAGACCAACCCAAGAAGAGTGAGGAGTGTTACTTATATAGCAGCTGCAAGGCTAGGATTGGTTTAAATGCAGGCCTGTGATTGGCTCAAATTCAGGCCTGTTCATTGGTCCAAGTACAGGCCTGTGATTGGTCCAAACTGTGTGTGTGTGGGGGGGTGGGGGTGTCTGCATCTAGGTTAGCCTCACCTGTCATGGTGGCAATTCAGTGAGAAGGTGGGGACAGGAAACTGATTGACAGCTGTTGTGAGTCTATGAAAAATGGTGGGGCCCAAACCAGGGAGCTAATTCAACCCAGGTAATTGAGGTTTAGGCAGGATGGGGATGTTAATAATGGGCCTGAATTACTCCCTCCTTGATCTTAGCCACGTTAGGGTGGTTCCCCCATCTCCCCAAAGAGGTGGCAGCAGCAGCAGTGTCATCAGAATGGCAGGAGGGGATGAGGGAGGAGGTGGGGGAGGGTTGGGTTTTGGGAGAAGGGGCACCAAGCCTACATCAGAGCAGTACTTCTGCCCTGGTGGCCTGGAGAAGAGTGGTTGCTAAATAACGAGGGTAGACACCAGGCAAGATGTCTCATTCCATGGGGGAGAGGAAGAGGAAAGGAAGTGAGAGGGAAAGCATGAGAGCTGTTGGACAAACCACGCCCCCTCCAGCCTGCGTGGGAAAGGAGCGAGTCAGGGGTTCTCCTGTTTCACCGCCACCGCAATCAAAATAGAGACTATTTTCATTGCCCTGAAAATTCCCCTGTTCCCTTTCTGGTACAGTGCCCTCTGTGCCCTAGATGCCTGTTTCTGACTTCTGCCAAGGCAGACCAATTTTCCTGTTCTTGGACTTTCATCTAAAGGGAAAGTTACAGGTGGTGCTGTTTGTGTCTGGCTTCTTTCCCTCAGCATCATTTCTGTAAGATGAGTCCACCTTATCAGAAGTTCCTTTTTCACTGGTGATAGTTACTGATGCTCACTTCTGGGCTCAGATCCATCTACCCTTCTTGCCTGCTTGGTGAAAAAGGAGCTGGGCCCTTTAAATTTCTCCCCAACTGACGTGACCACTAGAGGGCACTAGGGCCCTGGAGGCGCTGCAGAGGGCCGTGGGTGCTGCTTCCAGACTTCCGGGAGCTCAGGCACGTGGGCCGCTAAGGTGCACCCTGGAACTCGGTGTCCCCAGCCCCTAAGTAGTTTCGCAGGGGAACTCTCCTGGGAGGAGCTTTGTGGCACCTCACGGGACAGATTTCCGGTAAGTGCCACAGGTTGGCTTTCTAGCACGTTCCACTAGCTCACATATTTTGTTCCATTTTCATGCAGGGCATGGGAGCCTTGCTCCCTTCAGCAGACCCCAAGTGGGTGGGGTGCACTTCTGGGAGTGCTCCTCCGCATTGGCTCTTCCTTGGGGCTTTATTTCGCCCTTCGGGGTGAGGACTCTCCCTAAGGGATTTTAGCTGGGGGACTCTGCCTTTGGGGTGGTCTGCCTTGAGCTAGGGGCTTGCGTTTTAATCCTAGGGTGAGGGGCCTTGTCCTGGCCCTTGGGGGGGACCTCTTCTTGGGGGACGTCAAACAGTCCACGTGGGGGCTCCCCACTGGGATGTCTGTCAGCTCTGAGGGAGGGCTTGGTCTCAGTCCCCCGCATGTGGCTTTTCTTCGGGGCTCCACCTCAGGCTGAGGGTTGGGGGTGAGGCTCTTACTTGGGGCTTCTGCCTCAGCCCTGGGGCCTCTTCCTTGGAGCCTGTTTCACTGAGAGGGTGGGGACCTTAGCAAAGCCCTCAGGATCTGGGGATGTTCCCTGAGCACTCAGCATAGCCCTGCCTGGGAGTTCTCAGCCTCTGTCCCACCCCTGGCGGGGGTCTTCCTCAGTCTCTGCCTCACCTCTGCAGGGGTTGCTATTCCTGATAACTTGCTTGGTTTATTCCTTGGTAGTTAATGGCTTGTGAACTCAGTCACCTATTCTAGGTTGGTAATCCTTCATACAAAACTGTCCCATTGAAATCGCTGTGTGGTTTCCTTTTCTTGATTGGCCCCACATGATACAGAATTGGTGTCAGGTGTAATGCCAGGGGTCGGACCCAAAAGTGGCATTCGGGGATGGGTTTCCCGGTGACTTGGGCATGAGTGTGGTGTCAGGTTCCTTGCCAATGGAAATAGGGTGTTAATACCCCCAAACAGGTAGTGACCTCACAAGTTACACTGACCCCCGTGGCCAATGAGGCTGCACTTGACTGTCGTGCGATAATGATGACTGTAAGGACTGGGGAGTGGGGAGGTGGGTGGATTCTTCAGAGGGCTCTCGAGCACTTCCAGAGAACAAGCAACAAACCCAAGCCCCTTACCTCTGTCCTCAAGCCATGACGTGGGAACCTGGGGCTCCTGGCGGGGTCCTCACAGAAACTCCTATCTCGCAGCCATAGGGCTAGTACTGCTGAAAATCAAGCACAGAATTTAATTGTGCTGGTTGTTAAATTACAATGACAATCAAACTCTTATCTTGACAAGTTTCTTGTGTGAAAAGTAGGGCATTGAAAAGGAAGAAACAGGGTCCTGGCATGTGGAATGGGGACATCTGTTGGATGCACATAAAACTGGCAATCTAAAATCCCATATTACCCTGAACATCCTTTCTTAGTGGAGGGACCTTGACCTCTAGGGTTTGAAGAGGCTTCATTCCTCTGGTAAAACCCTGGGATCAAGCCAGGAATGGTGGTGCAGGCCTATAATCCCAGCACTCTGGGAGGCTGAGGCAGGAGAACAGCAAATTTGAGCCCAGACTGAACAATTTATCAAGACCTTGTGTCAAAATAAAAAACCAAAAAAAAAAAAAAAAAGAGTTGGGGATGTAGCTCAGTGCAAAGGCCCCAAACAACCCTGTGAGCATCTCAGCTGGATGCGGGCCTAGAAGGATGCCTGGGGCTCCTCATGACCTCCACCAGGGTCACTTGTCCTTGCTGGGGTCTCAGCACGTTCTAGAGTGACAGACAGGTGGACAGTAGGACCTGGGATGGAGCCTTGAGGAATTCTGCTAACACTCATCAGCAGGACCCTGGGTGATGTGGGGAGGGGATTCTAAGGGTTTCAGATCAAGAAGGGCTGAGTACAGCACTTAGATTGGGCTGAATTCATTGACAAGGGTGCATCCATGGGAGGTCATGGGCTTGATTATTAGCATGTGCAGCCCATCGTGGCTGGAACAGCTGGCTTGGTTGGCTGATTAAACCTGAATTTGACCATGGCTGACAGTTGGTCATGATGGGGAAGAGGGAATCCAAGGCTTGGGGAGATGGGGATGTTGGATGGCGTGTGTCATGTGCAATCTCTTTTCCCCCACCCCTGGCTGTGTGCCATGAGATGGAGCAAAGAAAGACATTGAGCAAGCCACTGGTGTGGGAGAATCTTCACCACACAAAAGCCTTGTGGCTGTAGAGGTCACCTCCACCAGGATGGGTTTCCTTGTCTCCATAGAGTCAGGGGATCCCTAGAATAGCAAGACCAAGGGCAGCGTTCCTCTGTCAAGGTCAAGGCGGGCTCATCTGCTGTAACAGGCAGCAGGAGTACACAGACCATCAGAATGCTGATCCGTGGGGATCATGAGTGGTAGCTGGAGGTACAGTCACTCCTGGGTGCCCATGGGCGTGGGTTCCAGGGCCTCATGTAGACGCCAACATCCACAGATGCCCAAGTCCCTCATAGACAGTGCTGTAGTATGTGCATATAACCTGTGCACAATCTTTTCGAATATGTGAAGTCCTATCTAGATTACTAATAATATCTAATACAGTATGAATGAAATGTAAGTATTAGCGATGCTGTAGTGTTTTGGGAATAGTGAGGAGGAAAAGAGGCAGTAGAGACATAGGGACATGATTTTTTTCCTAGGGTAGTTTTTTTTTTTTCAGTACTGAGGATTGAACACAGGGCCTTTGCACTGAGCTAAACCTCCAGCCCCTTTTATTTTTATTTTGAGACAGGGTCTGGCTAAGTCACTATGGTTAGTGGCCCAGGCTGGGCTTGACCTTGTCATCCTCCTGCTCCAGCCTCCCAGAGTGCTGGCATGGCAAGTCTTTGAAATTCCGTGTCACAGTGCAGCCTTTAGGTGACAGCATGTCCCACGGGATTGTGACTGAGTCTGAATAATAAGCAGCATAGTTGGTGATGACTTCTGGGTTTGTGTCCCCATTTCACACAAGGGTGAGAGTTTTCTTGTGAGAATGATAGCTGCATCTTAGGTGGAAATGTGGAGCTGTGTTGCTGTGCAGGAGGGTCGGTATGGAAGCCGAGCAGTCAAAATGATAGAAGTTAATGGTTATCCATGATCGCCCTTATGCTGCAGAGTCAGTCACTCCTTCTTGGCTGCTTGGTGAAAATGGAACTGGGCCCTTTAAATTTCTCCTCAGCCAGCATCAAGCTGGTTTGACCACTAGAGGGCGCAGCATGCAGGTTGTCGGGAGCTCCGCACGTGGGACGCTGGCACGCTGGAGCTCCGTGTCCTCACTCCTCAGCCAGTTTGGCAGTGACCCTCTCAGGAGCCGCTACGAGGGACCTTACTGGCAGATTTCCAGTAAGTGTCCCTTTGTTGCATCCCCATGGAGCGAGTTGGAGCCAGGACCCCTTCCCCAGGTCTGCGCGGCGGCGCCCAAGGGTACGGGGGGCACTTCCTTGGGGGGGCCTCTTCCTTGGGCTCTCTGCCATCCTGGGTAGGGGGTCGTGGCGGCTTTTCCCCGCCTCAGCCTTGGACCCCCGCCTGGGGGCAGTCTCCACTTTGTCTCAGATTCAGCCTCCTAGGATAGTGGCAACTAGGTATCTGTCATGGCTTGCCTGGCCACGCTGAGTGGAGAGGAATTGTCTTGAGCTGTATATATAATAGTCAATTATATAAATAACAAAAACTCCTTATTTTATTTTTATTTTTATTTTTTTTTGCAGTGTTGGGGATTGAACCCAGGGCCTTTGCACAGAGCTATATCCCCAGCTCTTATTTAATTTTTAAGAAAAAATTTAAAATTTAAAATCTCTGCTTTTTGGGGGATAGAGCTGGCATTTTTTCCCCTGTTTTTTCACCTTTTTATCAGTGTATGTTTACAATACATAATAAATACTTTCATGGTGGGGAATTGATACATATACATATCACATCTTGGTCCTTTCTACTTCCCTTCCCATTCTGTCCCTTCTCCCTTCCCCAGATTCCCTTTCCATTTCCATATAGTGACACAGGGTCTCACTGAGGTGCTGAGTTGCCCAGGCTGGGCTGGAACTTGCAATTCTCCTGCCTCAGCCTCCCAGAATGCTGACCAACAGGCTTATGGCAGCAGGCCTGGTTCTAGCCCTTTCTTAAAATTTTGAGACAGGGTCTCACCAAGTTGCCCAGACTTGCTTGAATTTGGAATCCTCCTGCCTCAGCCTTCCAGAGGGTTGGGATAATAGATATGAGTCACCACACTTAGCTAAAAATATTTTTTTATTTTAACATGGGCGTGAACATTGCTGCAGGCTGGATGCGTTTGTGTGCAGCACCCTCTTTCCACGGCCCTGGCTGGGCTCCCCTCGAAAGGGTGCAGGGCGGTACCCGGGGCATGAACAGGCCGCGGCTTGCATCTCTGTTTTCACGTCGCTACTTCCACTTGGGGCTGTTTGGAGCACTTACCGCGTGTGCATGTTCTCGTGTGGAAGAGCCGGCTCTTGGATCGAGGCCTGTGATGGTGCCCTCTGGAGGCTGGGCTGACGGGTGCACGCGTGGGGGTGAGGCTGCCAAGCGGCCGCTGATGGGGGCTGCTTTTACATGGGGATGGATCTGACCCAGAAGTGAGAGGGTGCCCAGCCTTGTGTGTGTGGGAGGGGAGACTCCCCTTTCTATTCTCCAGGTGGGGGGTAGCTCGGCCCAGTGACTCTGGGCTCGTCACTAGGCTCCTTCTCCCATATCCTAATCCATGGAAGGGAAATTTCCATGAGGACCTGCCAGTACTGGCAGGACTGCTTGGGATGGTGCCCTTGGGGTACTTGGCATGGGACTGGCACGAAGAGGGTGGCAGCGGGTGACAGTTGGCACGATGGTTGTTATTAGGTATTGAAGCCTGGGTGACAAGGTCCTCCTTGTCACTAGCCATCCTGTGTCAGTCACTTAGACCCCTGGGGGCTGGCATGGATGCCAGCATTGTGCCCAGACATGTCTCTGGACCCAGAAACCTGGGCATGGCTTTCCACTGCTGACAGCACCTGGCACTTCCTGTTGCCTTCCGTGGCTTCCCTCTGAGGAGTGGGCCCTCATGGTGGTCCTGGCTTTTTGCCTGGCCCCCTGACAGTCACCTTGGCCAGCACCCTGCCAGTCCAAGCCCCAAGGTGCCACACCCTGGCAAGTCAAGCTGCCATGATTAGTCAAATAAAATTCCCATCTGTTGAGGAGTTTCCGAGAGTTATTATGGCCATAAAACCGATCAGAAGAGAAGGATGGATCCGAGGGGGTAAATGCCTCCAATTATGTGCAGCAGTGACTTTTAAATAAGGTTGCACGTGTCCTTATGGGGGGTGTGTGTGGTCCCCATGGACATCTGTGCCCAGGAAGTGGCTGGGACGGTGGGGGTGGTGCTTGGTTGCAGAGGGAGGAAGAAGGAGGGGTGGCAGGATGTGAGCCTCACGGGCCACTGTGGCATTGAGAAGGATCCTGCAGGCAGGGATCATGGGTGTCTGGGTCTTTTGCTTCCCTCCCTGTTCCTGAGGCCTGAGCCAGGCTGCTGCATGGAGGCGGCAGGCTCCCTGGTGCAGTCTGTCCTGGACATGGCCTCTATGTGGCCCACCCATGGCACCTCCTGGGTCTCTATAGGTCATCCTCAAAATGGGACAGCCCATCCCCAAAGGAGGCTTTTAGGAATATGGGCCCAGCCTTGCTCTGCTTTATTTATTTACTTTTTTGGGTGCTGGGATGGAATCCAGGGCCTCACACATGTTGAGCACATGCTTTACTAGACCTCCAAGCCTACCCCTTTTTATTTTGAGATAGGGTCTTACTAAGTTGCCCAGGCTGGCCTTGACCTTGCAGTCCTCTTACTTTAGCCTCCCCAGTGGCTGGGATTACAGGTGTGCAGCACAGCTCTTCCTACATGACTTTCCAAGTGCTGCACTTCCTCCTGCTGCATTGCGTTGTGGTTGGAGCTGAGGGGCTCCTCTGAAGTCCCCTGGATCTCTGGTACTGGGCCTTCTGGGGGGACGTGGCTTCCACAGCCCACTGCTTTATGTTATCCTCCTTGCTGCTGAGAGCAAGGCTGCACTTGGGGGACTCACGTGGGCTCCTAGAGGCTGGGAGATCTTCGAGGTGGTCATTCCTGAAAGGCTCTGGTTTGAGTGAAAGGTCACTGTCCAGGCCACGGTGGAGACCAACGTGCCTTCCTCCAGTCCCATGATGCCTTGGGGGCATTGGGCCCTGAGAGCCTGGGTGCTTGCCCAGGCCCCTCGGCCCTGCCGGCCACGTGACCTATCCTTTGAGTTGGCTGTTGAGAGCCGCCCCTGTGGCAGGGGCTCTGGTGGCCTCTGGTAGGAAACTCTCGCCCTGGCTCCTTCCTCCTGGCCAGTGGCTCCGGAGTGATTAGGCCCTGTACCTGAGGTCTTGGAGCCCAGGGTTCTGGCCGAGGCCAAGGTCAGTGTGTGTGGCAAGGCAGCCTGGGGCAGGGGGCACTGACCTAGCCTTCTGCCTCACTGTCTCCTGGACCCAACTTGAGCCTTTGGGCTCCCAGCTCTGCTGCTGGCTGCCAGACCCCTGGGGACTGTTTCCCCCCAGATCAGTGGGGATAGCAAGGCTGCTTTGCAGGGTCTGGGGAACAATGAAATGAATGTGTAAGAGGGAGAGGGGCCCTGGCCAGAGCAGACCCTTTAGGGCCAGGCTCAGAGTAGGGGCCAGGTGGGGGTGCCACCTCTCTGTGTAAGCCGATGCTGCCCCCCAATGTGTGGAGGCCTTTGGGGAGGGGGTGCCCTGGCCCCTTCTAATCCCTTGAGGGCACGAAGAACCTGATGGTGGGTACCAGAGAGGGCCTGGTACCTGTGGGTCCACAAGACACTGAGGCTTTAGAAGGATGGGGTACTGCTTGGACCAGGGTCCATGGGCGCTGGCTTCGTTCTTGCCTGGCTTCCTGGAGTGGGAGGGCCTTTGACCCTGGCCCAGTGTTGGTCCAGGATGGTGCTCCCTGTTCTATCTGCTCCCACCTCCACCTTCAAGATGGTGATGTGAAGTCATTGCTCTTGTATTATGTGTGAGGAATGGGCTTAGGGGTGGGGAGAGAGGGTGCTGTAGGCCTTAGGCCTCAGGCCTCAAGCTTGGGCTTTCTGTCAGTATACACAATTCAACTCTAACTAACTGCCAGTGCACTTGGAGGGAGTCCAGTGCCAGCTGGAGCCTGGGGTGGTGAGGAGATTGATAGACCAGCAGGCCAACAGGAACTGGAAGGAGTAAAGACCCCTGTGACTTCCCTGCAGTAAAGTGACAGATAGTGTGTGGGGTGGGGATGGGGGTGCTGTGGGTGTGGTCTTCAGCAGGGCCCCGGAGGAGGGGACAGCTTGGTCCCCACAGTGACATTTGCACCCCCTGTGGCTCTCCTTCTGAAACTCAGCCAGGGCTGGCTCCTGCTCCGCCCTCACTGATCCCAGTGACATCAGGACCCCCTGACCTGGAGCCCAGCAGCTCTGCACTTTCTTGGTGCCTGATGTCGCCCCCATGCTTCCCCACTGCAGCCACAGGATGGAGGACCCTGCCCTGCCCCACACCCCCAGGGCCTCCACCCTGAAAGTCTGACAGTAACAGTCTTGTGGGTGGGCAGAATGGGCTGGCTGCTTTCCTCCTCATGCCTTAGGAGCCTGAGGTCCCCTTCATGCTGAGTTCCCAGAACTCTTGGGCTTGGGCTAATGACGTGGTTAGCCCAAGCCCCAGTTTCCCATTTCCTAAATGGGGATGACAACCTGATAGAATTAAAGTATTCATCTAGTATTTTCTATCATGAAAATCATTTATCTATTTACCTTGGTACTAGGTTTTGAACCTCGGTCCTTTGCTCTAAGCTGCATCTGCAAGATAGTTTTTGTTTTGAAATGTCTTGCTAAATTGTCCAGTGGGACTGGGACTTATTACCTTCCTGCCTCAGCTTCCCAAAGTACTGCGATTACTGGTGTGCGCTAACATGCCCAGCTGACAATCATTATTTTTGATTTTGTGCCTTAGATCCAAACAGCTGTGTGGCTGAGCTGAGCCAGCTCAGAGAGCTGTGGAAGCCCTGGCCCTTGACCTGAGCAGAAGCGTCTTTGCCCCTCCCTGCCTTGGTGGGCAGCTGTGCCCCAGGTCCTGACTCACTGGGGCTGACCTTGGGTATCACCAGGTGGTCCTTCTTCCTGAAGGTCGCATGTCTTTCCCTGAGACGCTGGGTCTTCCATCCCCATGGGCTTTAACTTTGACCTTGAATCTCCTTTGTTGGCTGAAGAAAAGATGCAGGCCCCTCCGGTAGGATGCTGTAGACACCTATTTGTTGCACGTTCCCAGAGGCTGAGGGCGGACTGGGCCAGCAGGTGACCAGCGCCTGGTCC